GGGGGGGGGGGGGACAAAAACAGGTCTGGAGCCAAAAAGCCAAACAACGGTCACCCAAGAAAAGAAACGGGTGTCGTTCTCTTTATGCTTTGGTTTGAGCCAGGGAGGAAGGGGTGAGTGTTTTTATTTTTTTTACTTTGCCTGGTTGGCGAAAGGGGGGAGGAAGGGGTTAAGAGCACATCTACTGAGAACACAGCTAGTGTTGTTTACAGGCTGAGAAAATAAATCCACTCGTCGTTAACTCATTTTCAGCCAAATTATTATATTGTATAATGAACAAATTCTCACCTCAAATGGCACTTCAACGTGGATTAATGGTTGCTGTTAATGTTTTGGTTCTTAATTTTAGTGGTCAGTCACGACAGAGGAGGGGAAAGCCCCTCCAGGTTTTGGACATTCCAGGATGGGGTATCAGGCCTGTATTTACCAGCTGAGGGGCCTCCGGGTGCATGGATTGAGGACGGCTTTAGCCTGCGCGACTTGAATACAGTAACTAGAGGAGACTTGCCTGCACGGTTTGACTGGTCAATCATGGGCTGCACTATTCTCCTCCGGGCGTTAATGAACCTGAAGAAGATGAAGAGAGAGAGAGGGGAAGAAAAGAGAGGGGACAAAGAAAGAGAAACACTGTCAGTGGATTTCCCAAAACAAGATCAGACAAAAATTGCTGACTAAGACCTGGGAAATCTTGGCACACAGCTTGAAAACAAAAACAGTGCCAAAGCAGTCTCCTTCTTTAAGTAAACCATAACAGTTATATAGGGAAATTATTTTCCACTAAGCAACCCTGAGCCGGTAAAGCCCCAACAGAGTCACATCTTAGCAGCGTTACCAAGGCTTGCAAAAAGTCCACGACTTGTATAAACTTGCACAGCCTCAGCTCATATGCAGAAACATGGGCTTGAACACTGGGGTCTTTGTGGGGCGAGGCTTAACCGGGATTTTCTCCGAGCCTGTTTGAAACATGTCGATCCATCTCTCTTTGTCGGGACGTTCCACCTCACAACGAGCTGAGATTGCTGACTGTTTAACGCACTCGGCTTGGAGCGTGGCAGTGTGGGAAGTGTTGCTGACAGAAACATGTCACGTTGCCACTGGTGAGAGGCATTGTTTTGGGTGATACTCTGTTAAGACAGGTGACCATGTGTTACTCTGTGACAGCAGGAGATTTTTTTTAGTGACTGTGTGTGTGTGTTTTCACAGGAGCTGGATTTGGTACATACAGGCTTAGAAAAACCTCGTTTACCCCGTGACCTCCAATAAAAGCACAGGGTCAGAACATTTATTGAGCACACACACACACATGCACACACTGTTACTCGTATTTAAAACTGCTACTGCACACACACACACACTCTTAATCTCTCTCCCTCTTCTACGTCCATTCACACACATTCACGCCCTCGCACACACTCACACAGGCCGTGCTCTGGCCTTGCTCAGCCTAACCCCTTTTGAAATGACCTGTTGACCTGTAATGACCCCCAAGGAGAGAGGGCTCTTGGGGCTTCTGACTTGATTTATGTGTTCCTGCTGTTGCCCAACCGGACACTTCCATTTCATCTCTAAAAGGGGGAGCATTAGCCGAACTTTGAGGAAACAATAGCCGTGCAACGCTGGAAAAAAGGAGCATTTAAGAGTTCTAAAGAAAGGAGAGGGACGGATACAAAGGGACACAAGCTGGTGCGTCTGTTTGACCCCTAAACAAGTGAATGGCTTTATAACTCTTAATATTCCTTCTCTAACAGCTTTATGGTGTGCTCGATAACGGACTGATAGATTTCTGTCCGTTATCTATCCTGTGTCAACTTCTCCAGACGGAGCTGGGGGGTAACGAGGAGACAGAGGGTGGCAGAGACAGATAGCAGTAGAAAGGCACAATGATTTGAAGCTTAATTGTGTCCCTGCATTGTTTTTCTTATATCTCATAATCCGCTTTAGCGAAATTGTTACATTTTCGACAGGAGCTTTCTGTGAGGTGAAATGTTCTGTGAAAGAGAAGGAAAAGAAGCGACGGGGATCTGAAGCCTTTGAAACCTCGGTGTTTTGGCGATTTTGTTGTCTTTTCGTTACAATATGTAGAACTGGAATTTGGGGGAGAGAGACAGAAAGAGCTCGGGAGGAATGCACTGACATGGCAGAGCACCATCAAATGAGGGAACGTCTGGAGTTTTATCACCAACACCCCCTCCCTCCCTTCCTCCCTCGCTACCCTGTTTTGCTGGGGGAGATATGGGAGGAGGAGAGAGGGCAAGGAGGGTTGAGGAGGCCTGAGCATTCCTTTAACTCTCCTCTACAGGCCTTTTATAGAAGGACGAGGTCATATTAAGGCCAGCACTGGCTAACTGTTGACCTGTCCTTCTCCTTCCTCTTGTCTTTCCTTCCTATTTCTCTCCAGCTAAAACCTCGTCCTTCTACCTCCCTCAAAAGTACACCGGTGCGATAAGGTAGGTTGTTCTGCCAATAGGTGTGCACTTGTTAGGAAGTCTGGCATTTGTTCCTGCTACAATAGGGCTCAGAGAGGAATGTAATTGACTTGTTACTTGATCTGACCTCCCAGAAATATGGCACCAGTGCTTATTTACTCTAAGGATTAACCAGGCTATGTATCAATGAAGTCATAATCCTACTATTACGGCTACTGCTGCCACTAGGCCTACAAGTGCAGCTCTGAAAAGAACAGCTCTGCCTCCCTCTCCGTCCCCCTCTGTATCTGTTTCCTTCTCCTGCTCTCCTTATCATTCCTTCCCTGTATGGTGGAAACTGGCGGCACACCACCCAGCAACGAACCCACACTCTAACCCACCAAACCCCCTCCTCTCCGCAAAAACTCTCGCCGGTTTCCTGTCCCTGTCGTCCCCATATCTGAGGCCAGATGCACCATGGGGGCTGGAACAAAGGATAAAATGCCTCTCATAATAGCAGCCAGGGGAACGGAGCGATGGAGAGCGGGAGAATGGGAGGGAAGGAGGAGTGAGAGAGTGGGAAGGCAAGGGGCTCTGTTCTGCAAACCAGACACTCTCGCTGTGACCGTTAATAAGCTGACCGAGAGAGAGGGAGAGGTAGGGGTGAGGAAGAGAGAAGGGGGGGAATTAGAAAGAGAGGAAATAAGACTCAGAGAGAGATAGAAAGAGAGGAAAAGGGGAGAGAAAAGCGGAGCTGCTCCATTAGGGGGAGTGAGGCTTCACCTTTGCATGACCCCTGGGTGCTATAGGGCCAGTGTTTATGGCCTGTTCGTTCCCCTGCCTCCCATCACAACACAATGAGCTGCACTATTCAGCTCCGCTCACTGCAACAATAGCTGGGCTATTTTGGCGTGACACACCACTGGTGGTACGCCTAAAGTTGGGCGAAAAACACCAAAAGACAAGCAGGAGGAAGGAAATTGACTTAGAATAAAAATGGTAGAGTTCAGGGAATGAAACACTACCAAGGGGATACGTTTGATTCCCACAAAGGGCACATGTGGTTGACATAAGCATGCACCCAGAGTGGATCGAGAAACATGCATGCCACATGTAACGCCAGAAGTAAGGCTCTTAAAAGTCACATTAAGGAAACTGGGTTGATTTTATTCTTTGTTGTTCTGCCTTCTATCTATTTCTCCTTCTGAGATTGCTGATGTCTGGTTAATCCTCCCGCCCCTCTCCCTCCTTCTCTGGAAAGAGTGGAACTGATTGCGACGGCGTCTGCCAAGCCCTTGCTAATGTCCTATTCTCATTACACCCGGGGACACACACACACGTCCCCGACACACCGAGCCGAGGCAGCCGCACACAGGTGTACACGAAGCACACGTGAAATGCCCAATTAAAAGCAAGAAATTGTCTTTTTCATCAGCTGCCTTTGTTGCGTGACCAATTAGGGGATAATTTAATAACGAGCAGTGGAAAGATGCAGATTGGATATACAAAAGGTTACTCTGCGAGCTCGTTGATTTAAATTCATGTGGAGTTCTCAATTTCTGTAGCACACACACACTCACACACATCTCTTGAGCGTTCCACCAATATCATATTAGTAATATGAGACACACACACATGAACACACACATAGACATACGTATATAAATACACGTCCTCTGCACTCACTGGCAATATTACATTAGTAATCTGAGAAAATGTGCACCCGCACATGCACAGGCCAGCACACACATACACGCATCAGGACCTGGTGCTGGATTTCAGTGGAGGCTGGCAGAGGTTTACATGCATATTCAAATCTGAGAGCCGCTTAAAATAACTGTGTAACCACACACTCCTCCTAGCTGCCAATCAATGTGATTTAAAAGCACTAGAAAGAAACGGGTAGAGTCATGTAGCTTATCATCAGGTTGTCACTGCGCGGCAGTATCGATTGTCTGCTGCTCAACCACAATTAACGCCTAGCAATATATCCTTCCTACTAACTGGTGAACAGACACACACACACGTACGTACGTACGTACGTACGTACACACACACACACACACACACGCACGTACGTACACACACACGCGTGTACACACACACACACACACACACACGCGTGTACACACACACACGCGCGCGCGCGCGTACTGCTCTGTCGTATCTGAATTCATTATTTGAACTGAATAGTTTTTTGCAGAACACTTTTTGACCCACTTTGTTTCTTAAAAAGTGATTTGTACACAAATTAGTCTTACACACAAATGCAGTTGCCAGTCATAAATCAAGGATAGGCTTTCGTACAGCCTGNCGATTGTCTGCTGCTCAACCACAATTAACGCCTAGCAATATATCCTTCCTACTAACTGGTGAACAGACACACACACACACACACGCGTGTACACACACACACACACACACACACACACACACACACACACACACACACACACACACACACACACACACACACACACACACACACACACACACACACACACAAGATGACCAGTGTCACACAGAGTCAGTATTGCTGACAGGGCTTGCGGTGGGGACTGCTGCAAACACAGAGTGGTTGACCTAAATCCCCCCATACTGCCCGTGTCATATCCTGTCTCTGCGCGTGTCACTTCCCCCCGCTGGCTCACAGCAGCCATCGCTATGGGGATCCCTCTGATTGCCCAGAAACTAGTGAAGGCAGTTTCAGGCTTTTGACATCCACAGTTAGCAAACACCAAAGCAGTGGAATCGAGGAAAAGAGGGCAACAGTCGGACAAAAAACGACTGGACAATGAAACTTGCTCACATTTGAAAATTAGCTTGTTAAAATCAACAAAAACAGCATATCTATAGATATTCTAGATCAGTTTAATAATATCTGTAAAGTACAAAGTGAAAATTGCATAAGAGTCTCAGTTTTACAATAGTCATTAAGACTTTTATTGTGGTGAATATCTGCTAGATTTCAGAACAATCCCTAATTTAGTTATTTGATATCAATGGTTGCTGGCACTTTCCATGACTGTGTTATTGCATGCAGGAATTGCGTCATCATTTTATGGTTTGTCAACAAGATATTTCCGTATAACCATCATTTATCTAAATTACATGAAGTCAATGTCAGTGTTGTGCCAGGAAATTCTAGAAAGAAGGAGTGAT